TCACTACATCATCAATTGGTTTCCCATCCTTACCTAGTACCCGTTTCCTAACAACTGCGTTACTTACTCGATAGTCCCAGGATATACGAGCAATGTTTCGAAGACACCTATGATCGAATACTAGTAACCTACGAATATCCTCTACTCTTACCGGCCACGTTTCAATCCCATAAAGTAGAACGGAACAAAATGCTGCGCAGTAAACACGTCCTTTGGTGTTCTAGAACCTGACGTAGTGTGAATATCTGGTCTATACAACCACGTCCAGGTCGAAAACCAGCCTGGTTTTCTCTAGTCTGCTCTTCACGAGCTTTGATTAGGCGTCGAAGTATTATTGAAGCTAATATTTTAGACACTATATTAGTCAAACTGATTCCTCTGTGATTGTCACAAGAGGACTTTTGTCCTTTCTTATAGACTGGCACAATCAGTGATTGAGACCAGTCAGATGGGATTATGTCTAGTTCCTGAATTCTACTTAAGACCTCAGTTAATCTCACTGCTAATACTGGACCACCATCCTTAAAAATCTCAGGAGTAAACCTGTCAGGGCCTGCTGCTCTCCCTCGCTTCAGATTTCCTATAGCTTTTTCAACTTCGTGAAGGGACGGAGGACCTACATTAACTTGCTATTCCGGTTGAATGGAGATCGTGGGAAACCGAAGTGTGGCTGAAGGCCAGTTGAACTGATCCCTAAAGTGTTCTGCCCATCGATCCAATCTCCTGGATTGAGAATGTATAATATGTCCATCATTTTCTGAAATTGTCAGCTTGCGATTAAGCTGACTCCACTCTTCATTATGTTCAGAGCCAGGTGGGATGAGTTTCCGAGCATCTATCAGTGCGATAGATGCTGCTGAGATCCAGTGTTGCTCCCTAACCTTACGCGTTACCGTACTAGCAGATATCACTGCTGTTTCCACAGCTTTTCGGATATCATTCCATGCTACCTCGGGATGGGCATCACATACATGGCTGCCTAACTGTTTTTCTAGTTGTTCCTGAAATATACTCTTAGCTTGACTGACATTTAGTAGGACCCTAAGAGGTTTCCTTGCAGCGTCTTTCCTTCCTACGTCCAGCAAGAGGCAGACAAATACGCGCTCGTACTAGAGCATGATCTAAATCTAAGCATGTGCTCCAAAATGAGCGAGTCTTCTATCGAGCCCCTCCATCGGTGGCTGATTGTGATGTGATCTATTTCGGTCCAACGTTGGGACGAATTAGGGGGTCGCCATGTCAAAAGATGTTTTTCCTTATGCTTAAAGTTAGTATTTGCAAGGAACAGGCGGTTATCTGAGCATAGCTGCAACAGACGGTCGCCATTATCTGTTCTTTGAGCCACGACACCATAAGATCCACCTAGGTGTCTTTCCCCATCGCTTAGTTTACCTACTTGAGCATTAAAGTCACCGGCCACTTTTACTACATCAAAGCGCCTAGCTTTTCGGAGAAGGTCGGAGAGCTTTCTGTAAAACTCATCTTTTACATCATCTGAGCTGCACTCGGTGGGAGAATAGGCAGAGACGACGAAGAGGCAACGACGAGTGTCCCTATCTTTTCGGATCCTTACTGTCCCGTTCAGCCGGATAGCGCACAAACGACTGTCTACTGGGATCCACTCTAAGAGAGCTAGTTCTGCCCTAGGACTCAATGCTATACCTACGCCGGCGAGGCCACGGGAAGCAGAATCAGGGCTTCCAGATATACGAAGTGTGAATCGAGTCGGTTTTTTATTTTGGCATGGTGAGGTCAAGTGAATGACGCTACTCGGATCCTGTATGCGCGTTTCGGAGACGCAGCACACATCGATGGCGCGGGATTATAAAGTCCTAGCTAAGGGAGCCTGTTGTCCTATTTGGCAAAGTGTTTGGACGTTAAAAGCTCCTACGTATAGTTTAAAGCGTGGTTTCAGGAGACCAGGAATAGCATTCCGCGTACTCGAATCGTTTGCCCTAGCGGTGCGAGATGGTAAAGAGATGTGAGAAAGGTTAGCCATGGAGATAAGAGAGGTATTAGGAGGTGTAGGAAGGATTTGAATGTGACCAACTTGGTCTCTTGTGCTGTTACGGGTATGAGGGCTGATATCACTTCCCGGCTGTCCACACCGTGGAAGGGTATTTCTTGAGGAACCTGAAAATGAAATTGGATTAGTGTTGGTCTTGACGACCTGGGAGCGTGACCGCAGAGCCCAAGGGACAACTGCTTGAGGCCGGTCGCGCACAGCCTTTTCGTGGAAGGTTTTCAATGTGTTAGCTCCGTTCTTCAAAGGGCCTTACCGCCGGAGACGGAAATCCGTGAGGTAAGGTGAGGTGTGGCATTTTTAGGGTCGACCTTTTCTAACCCCACCCCTCCTTGTGGGAAGGCAGCATCGCTGTCATGCTGGTTGTCTGAGGGAAATACCTTACTGCTGTCACACCCCTCTACAGTCAGCAGTACGACTTCGTCCTCAGACCTTGAGTTGCTGCTTTTAGTCTTACTGTTCTCCAATCGACCTGCCTGGCATGGTAGAACCTACAGGAAAATATGTTCGAGCCAATAGAGCTCGATTGGGTTATCACGATAGGCAAGCCCGACCACCGCGTCAAGGTAGCAGCTTCGGTCGGGTTTTCCAACATCACCTAATCTTTAATGATTACCTAACTAGTATCAGTCTGTGACATAAACTATGCAATTCAACAATCTCTACAAACCTCTTATAATGATTAGAATTTTCTTTAGTTAAGTGATTTGTGGATATTTGTTCAGACTAAAATTACTAACGAATTAAACATGGTTATTTAAAAAAAAACTCACTAGTCTGAAAATCAGATACTTATTGACATTTATTATCAACAAAGAGAACAAACAGACAAATCTTGAACATTTAACACTGGCTAAAACGGCATTGATTATATTCCATTACAAATAGTATATACTTAAACACTACTTAGAGGAACATGGTGAAATTCACAACGCGTGACATGTTTAATGCTCACAAAAAAAACATGGAAAAAGGGCAAGATAGAGAAAAAAATCACCGTAATTAATCAGAACAACACAATGAGGATGAAGTAAAGCACCAATTTATCTGAGATTAACCAACGTAAAATCAAGTCGGTTAAAAGCGGCACTTGAGTGTGTACAGATATCAATCTATGTATGCATGTATGTATGTGTACGTAAGTAGAGTTGTGAAACCCAAAAGAGCATCGATTATATAAATATATATTATGTATGTACGAAGTAATAGTGAGAAAAATATCATAGCAACACAAGTCGCATACAGTCAGACAGTCATACAGACAGTTAGACATAAACATTGTATATGTCCAAAATATGTATGTATGTGTCTTTGCACTTACTACCTATGTGTGTATGTCTGCGTGTGCACTTGTAAATCGCATCTATAACTATACTATGAAGCATAACATACAGGTGTGGTGATGGGTGGCGATATCACAGAGAACATACATACATACAGCATGATTAGCTTACACGATATTAACCAACCTACTGTACACACACATAAACCGGCACAGTGATTTACCAAAAATGATTCATCGTGTTTACGGCCATATATGTACTATTATTTTTTTACAGCTATTGTTACTGTATTACAATTCCGACAGAAACTACTACTATTAATACTACTTTTAACATTACAACCAACCGCACTACCACTGATATTGCTAATATAATGCTAAAATTTTCACCATTGTATCTGTCTATCTATTATGTCGATCAATATAATATAGAGTACACATATATGTACACATATGCATATGTACGTATATAGAAAGTATCACAAGGTTCTCGAAACCAACACACAAGCATCAAAATTTGAAAAAAAATAATAAATAAGCACACAGTAAATTTTAGGTAAAAATAAGTAGAATCAGGTAATTTTGCACGATATAGAAAAAAGATATGCATGCATGTATCTATAAATTGTACCGTTGGTTCGAAGTAATAACGGGAAGAGTATAGGACAAGGAGGAGCTTAAAATAACTGCGACTTGTTTTTAACCAATTAGTTCTTAGCCAATCAGAAGACAGTTTTTATAAATGGATAATTTATGGAAAAGAAAACAATCAGATTATAAAGTGTAGACAGATTTTACATATTTAAAGGATCTGTTTAGATCTCGTCTATAGCTTACTCTGCTAATAACTGAGAGAAAACTACGTGCAAATTCGTCGTCATGGTCATAAATAACACGGTTTACTCAAACCTTGATTGATTTCGAAGAGTCCCCTTCACCACCAGTGTTCTTAACTAAGGTTAGTGGCTCTTTTTATCACAAACTGTCATTCAAAAGTGCTCACTGTAGCCATATCATGTACTCACGCCTGTTACCTATGTGTTGGAGCAGAGGCCCCCGACCAGGATTCTTCAACCAACTCCTTCCTGAGCTCCCCTTTCCAGTCGTTGACAAATGTTATGTTTGCCTCGAATTCACAGGGCAATGAATTCTTTGATTTGTCTATTTTCCTTTAGGATTCCAAACTAGGGTTTGCCTCGTGATTTAGTTTGATGATTTCCGCAATGTGTCCTATCCATCTCCAGGGTCTTCTCCTAGTTTCCTCTTCAATGTAGCCATATGAATGAATGAATTTCATGCGAAAATCCAAGATGTGGTATCTGATTACTTGCCCATAAAATATATCACTATCTGATTGAGATTTATTCCAAGATTACAAATTTAGAATTAAGATTTAATAATATAGCACCTAGTGTCCATTTGCCAGTTGTATAATATTCGAAGAGAGAGTTAAATATTGTTATGGTAACTAAAAGTAATTCTTGTCATCATTTTAAACGTTTTGTTGAACAACATACAAAGGTGTTTCTACTATTCATATAATCAGTGATAATTGAATCATGCTCAAAAACCTACAAGTTATATTCTTGCTTTTGATTACCTCTTTCCTACAACCATATTTTTATCATAATACATTTCAATCTAAATAAATTAACAAAATTATAAAACAGAAAAACGTAAATTATAAAGACTTACTTGACCAAATGTACCTTTCCCAATTAAGGCTAGAATTTTATAACGATTATACCATACATCACCAATACGCACAAGTCCATGATGATGATGATGATGATGTGATGGATATACAGACGATGATGCTGATGATGATTGACAAACAGAATTTGATTGCATTTGACAAGAGTATACAGATGGACCAGTCCCAACACTTGTTGATGTTAATGTGAGTCCAGTACGAAATCCAGAAGCAGTGGTAACAATATTCAAATTAGTCAATGGATATGATTTAGACGGATTACAAGAAGGAAATGATGAACCTGTTCACATGCACACATATTGTTGACATAAAAAAAACGTAAGAAGAGAAATATAAGAATGAGACAGCCGGATTTTCGTATGATTAAGTTGAAAAAAGGACTAAAAAATCTTGACGAATATTTAGTATTGGTGAGAATAAAGAAAAAAGTACATTAGACAACAAAGAGAACATGATTCACATCATAAAGTCAGTCAGTCAGTCAAAACGTAAAACCTGGTACGTATGCACATCCGTTTAAATTGCTATACCCCATTAGCACAAAGAGATGAAATTGTCAGACAAAATCCAAGAATAGTCGAGTTAGTAACAGTATCAGTGATAATAGGGAAGATTAGGTATCGAAGATACGATTCGAGAGGATAATATAAATTAGTGGAACAAAGCATTGTAAAATAAGTTTTGAAACCCTAGCTCAAAAAATGGGAAAACAAAAAGTGAATGAAACTGTTGATATTAAGGCGGATTCTCTTTAACTAACTTACATCCATAATCTATAAACATTTTGAAAAAAAAGTCAATACTAATAATACCTCATATATCAATATATAATTTCACACTATTTCAAATCTTATTTTCAATCCTATTCCATGAAAGTGGTTTTCAATGTTAGTCTAACATAAATCAGTTCATGATTTCAATGAAGTTCAACAATCTCCACAGCCCTTTATTCAAAAGCTTTTCCTCAGAGAATTCACTTTGTTAAAAAGCTACAGTCGCAAAATTATATCTATATTCAAAAATGATCAATAATAATAATGTAGTTGAGCGTGTCGATCGCTTCACTTATCTTGGAAGTCTTATCAGCCCTTGTGGTCTGGTGTGTGACGAAATCTCAGCACGGATACAGAAGGCTCGACTAGCTTACTTTCGCCAACTTGCGTCATTTATGGCGTAGGCGAGATATCCGTCTATCAACCAAAGAACGGGTTTACTGCGCTGCATTTTGTTCCGTTCTACTTTATGGCAGTGAAACATAGCCGGTAAGAGTAGAGGATATTCGTAGGTTACTAGTATTCGATCATAGGTGTCTTCGAAACATTGCTCGTATATCCTGGGACTATCGAGTAAGTAACGCAGTTGTTAGGAAACGGGTACTAGGTAAGGATGGCAAATCAATTGATGAAGTGGTGAAACTTCATCAGTTGAGATGACTGGAACCCGTGCTACGTATGCCCAACGACCGACTGTCTCGACGTGCGATGTTCAGTGGTATAGGAGTAGGTTGGGAGAAAGCTAAGGGCGGCCAGACCAAAACATGGCACAAGTGCATGAAGTCACTGACACGTGGAATGAGTCATATTGGTAGGTGTAGAGTACCTGGTTGGGGACTGCGAGATGATAGCAACCGATGGTTAGAGACCCTGAATGACATGGCTCAAAATCGTTTGCAATGGCGCAGGTGCATCCACTCTTTGTGTTGTCACAAATTCTAGTCTCCTGATTCGTCCTTGTCTTTTTTTTCTCTTCCCAAATTTCTTTCACTGGATTATACTCTTTAAGTAACATCTCCAAACACTAATCTTCCCGATTACTGTTTATACTCTTATTACCTCTACCACTACGGGATATGAATCGACAACTGCATCTCTGTGCTAATGTGGTGTGGCAACTCGAACTGATGTATGTACGTCAGTCAGTCAGTCAGCTACAACGTAGGACCAGGCACATATATGCATCGGTCCAGGTTTCCATACCGCATCAGCACAACAAGATGAACACCGGATTCATAGCAGTGGTTAGGTCAAAGGTGGTAATATATAAGAGAAAGATTGCATATAGAGATATAGTACAAGAAGAAAGAATTGGTTCGTAGAAAGAAGGATATGAAGCAATTTTAATCTCTTAGTTTAAGGGAAGATAGAGTGTGTATACACCGACGCCATTGTGATCGATTCTGAGCCATGTCACCAAGAGTCTCCAACCACCGGCTACAAAAGTCACGCGGACCCCAACGAAGTAGTCTGCATTTACCAACATGGCTCAGACTAGAGGTTAGTGTCTTCAAGCACTGATGCCACGTTTTGGTTTGGCCGCCCCTAATTCTCTTCCAACCATCTCTAACACCCGTTAGCATTGCACGACGTAGTAATCGGTGTTCAGGCATATGTAACACGTGGCCCAACCACCTCAGTCGATGAAGATTAACAACCTCATCAACTGATTTACCATTATGTACGTACGTACGAAGTTTTACGTTGTTACTGACTGACTGACAATAATAATAATAATAATAATAATAATAATAATAATAACAACAACAACAACAACAATAATAATAATAATAATAATAATAATAATAATAATAATAATAATAATAATGGGTTCGTTAAACACAGTGACAGAGAGGTAAGATAAACTAAAAACAAAAAATGTTATTGTTATTGATAAATTTTCTAAGTGAACCCTTGAATCAGTTTCTTAAACTCTTCCAATAATCTCAGGTTAAATGTACACAACAACTTGAACATAAGAAAATGTGCGGAGTGTAAAACGAATGCTTTACTCCAAGGTTAGTTCATGTACAAAAAATCGAGGGTATTTATAGTATATCAGGTGGGTTTAAGCTTCTGGAACCATACTAAACGTAGTAGCAGGATAGGTAATCACTCAATCATAAATGTGGCACGTGACTTCACTTTCTAGATGTCTTTGCGAAACTTATATTGAACACTAATTTGAATAAAATGTCTTCCAGCATTTCCGCGATCCCTCTGGACTTTTCCCAGGGATACTTTGGATCTTCCCAACACTTATTAAGAAATTGGAAGATGTAACCGTCATGACATTGAATAGTCATTAAAATAAATAACTATTAATCGTTGTGAGAGAAAGGTTGAAGTTGAGATGAACTGTAGTCAGGAAGAGCATGGAAACACAAATGAGTCGGTAGAATATAAAAGGTCAATAAACAAAGGAAAAGGGAAGGTGATGGTCTTTAGAAGAAAAATGAGATTAAAACCATGGTAGAGGAAGGAGTTTGATAAATTTATTTTATCTACACAGTTCTAGTTTATCCAGATGTATAGCAAAAACTTTAGCAGTGCTAAGACGAAAGCTCACTGTCTTAGACAGCTTTCTACTTACATTAAAAATTATTTGAAACGCTGTCTGTTTTAATTAATGATGTTATTTTACGAGTTTTACGCTTTTGCATTAGCCTGTCTATATGTAATGTGACAAACGTACTCCTCCTGCTATTACTAGCAGTAGCAGCGGTCGAACAATAATAAGGGATATGTAACTTGCAATGAAGAGAAGTTTTAAACTGATAACTTCATATTTACCAAACGAACGTAGGTGCATATAATGTTTTTGCTATAAATTATCTTGCATCATTGCAAGAATAGCGAAATGAAATTAAGCAGCTCTTTTTGGATTGGTACATAGATTTGTTAACTTTATAAGCACTGTATATCAGTGGGGCGATGAAAAGGCTATTAGGCCGTTTAACTTTCAGCCATTAAATCCCGGGTTTGAACCCCGCTCTACTCCTGTCTGGACAGCCGGGTGAGCATTGTTAGCGCTCAAGCTCATGTGCTTGATGGATGAGTTAATTTACTATAAATACTGTTTAACAAAAATGACAGCATATATATTAGGGTACAAACCAACTGAAAATTACCGCAACGTAGACCTAACCAACTATTCCACGAACTAGTCAGTCCTTGTTGATATAAATAAAATATTAGATTCTAGACACTATGGTGTTATATCACTATACAAAATCAATAAGGAAAATCCCGTTGATACTGAACACTAGACTATATGTTCTGTGATGATGTAGCGTACTTAATTTGAAAGGAACTATTCTATCTTGGTGGACAATAAAGAAAGCAGAAGAGACTGAAATACAGAAACGAATAAAAAAACAACTCATTCAAACTGTACAAGTACACCTACAATACTATAACTCATTATAATTGTGAAGTTATAAGTACTAACTAGATAAGTACACTAAATTGTTTAAATTACATGGAAATTCTTAATCTATTTAACTGAAAGTCAGACGTCTATACTATATATAGATAAGAAAAATTGTATATAGGAAATCTAGTTCACTAATGAAATTCGAATGCTTAGCATCATCTAATAATTCAAGCGATATAATTTACCTTGATCGTAGATATGTTGCTGAGAATGGTGAGAGAGATGTGAAGTAGTTAGATCTTTGGAAATAGGATGTTGATTAGGATGAAGAATAGTTGAATGGTGAAGATGTTTCATTTGAACTATAGAGGGACCTTGATGTCGTGATTGGATAATGCCATTGACTCCGGATGATCGTGTTTGTAAATCTGAAGATGATGTACAACAAATAGACCCTGTGACAAGATTATTATTATTATTACAACCAATCCCACATCGATGTGGAGGTACCATAGGAATTTGTGATGATAATGTAGACGACTGTGGTGCTACACAATGATGATGGTGATGATGATAATGATGATAGTGACATGTTAATGCAGCTGTATTTGCTACAGTTGCAACATTAACTCCTGTTAAACTTCCTGTAGATCCATTTTGACATGAAGGAGCCAATCCACTACCACTATTACCAAAAGTAACAGAACCTTTACGATCTCTTTTTTGAATACTATCCTCACTAATTTGTTCTCTAATACGACGTTTCTTTCGATAGTAGACCTAAAAGAAAGAAAAGATAAGTGGATTTTTACTAACTTTTAACAATTAAGTAATCATATTCTTAAACATATAAAACTTTAATTCTTATTTTTCTCAACAACTAATCTTTGTGTTACACTTAAACAAGTTTGTTTAGTTCTTTTTTTTATTAGGAAAAAAAAATCGGAGTTTTGAGAAATTCGTATATTTAAGGATTTTGTAAATGATGAGAATGTCAAATGTCCAATAAAAAAAAAATAAACAAACAACATATTAGACAATAAATAAAAAAAAGAACCAGCGCAGAATTTCTCTCAATAGAAGTGTTAATAACAAAAATAATTCTAGGCTTACAGAAAGAAAAAAAGACGAAGCATTACTCAACTAAGACTGAAAAAAGTAAGCAAACAAATACATTTTCAATAGTTTTACAATATGAAAGTACTTTAAAATAATTGATTGAATCAGTAAAATATGATGATACTAAAGGTTGGATAAGAGGTAGAAGAGGTTAAGATAATTACACGGACTCGAACTATAGGTAGACTGAACGTACCAAAACGGCTCAGTCAAATATAGTTAATCAATTCATGGTTAATGGATAGAGACCACCTAAGAGGGATCGGAGCAATAAACATGATCAGTAGTTGGACGTTAGGTAACATGGCTAAGCATTCACTTTATTTTCTCATATATATTGCTTTCATACATAACTATACTTTCAATGTTTAGTCCTTCCCGCTAACAATGGTATCATAATTATTTCAATTCCTTTACTACTCATTACATCCATTGCATCGCACGATTCTGATATGATACGGCAACATGGGTTAACGTACATTTGTCCCAAATTGCACGTTGATTATAACTGATTCTTAAGTAGTATGTTGTTTAGATGTGAATAATCAACTTTTTAGTAATCCGCAAATTTTCCTTAATAATTAACTCTCTCGTACAAATTATGAAACAATACAAGTATCTTCTAAGGTAGCTTTCGTTTGTTGCAATAATTCTTTTTAAATTAAATAAAGATAGGTTAATCTCTTTTTGAGGAATTAACAAGTAAATACATAATTGTAATTGAGTAGTTTAGATTTGAATAAAATAGAGCTACTTCCAAATCAATAGAAATACTGAATTCTTGAGATTCATGTACAACATACCAAGAAAAGTGTATCAAATGGAAAGAACCATGTGTATTTTATCCCACTAACAACTATATAATATCTATACACATAGTTTCCTTTATCATTTTGAAAAGAGCAAGAACAAACATTTTAACAGAATAGCATGAATTCATTTTTATTTCGTTTGGTTCTCGTCAACTGCTTACAACCTGTGATATTTAGAAATCATTCATCACATAATGGGTTTAAATTATTTACATGAGACGTTTTGGTTGGAAGTTACGTCGAAGACACATTAGTATAGTATAAATAAATTTAATAGACTGAATATTGTAAATATATACCTTATTTTGTAAAAGAACATTGTGACAACAGTTCAAACGGCTAGAAACAAGTAAACATTGATAGGAATAAAATGAGTAGAGTTTAGTTGATAAAATAAGATTATTAATTTGAAAGATAGTTGGAATAATACTCAATGATGTGATAAATGCAGCGGCCTGCTTGAGCATCTGGGCTACCTGTTGCTGCCATCTAGATATTTCAATAACTTATCTCTTTTTGTTTGTTTTAATATATCATTATGTCTATTAATCGCATAACCTATTCTGCTGCGTTTCTAAAAAGTGTACAATCTTTCGTTGTCAAAGTTACAAAAAATTCAATAAGAGACAATGTGGTTAGTGGCAATATACAACGTAAAGAATGCACATTATTCAGATGTTCATTTGTTGAACTGCTAACATCTAACTGGCGATCACTCAATATTTATCGCCAGGACCGACCAAGAAGAAAGAAACAGAAACTTGTTGAAATACTTTGCGCTGAGAATTCTATATTGTACCAAAAATATAATATTGAATAAAGCTAATGATAATAATATAAAAAAAGAAAGAGTTCGAAGGAGAAGGAAAAAAGAACATATTAAGATACAACGAAGGAATATTAGTTACCAAGGCAAGGAAAGATTAATAACCATCTCCTTTTGAACACATTAATAAATATAGTGATGTAATCTTACATTAACAAATCTATGCGTCTAGACGAAGAACCCATCAATGTAGATATAAACTAATCAATTTGTACGAAGTACTTTTAATCCTTTATTATATTATATAAAATAATTAATTAGTTCAGAATAATAACCCAACAGAGAAAGGTCACAGACGATAAGTAACGAGTATATTCAATGTGATTTATCGCTCAAAAATACTTTTTAAAAAAATCCTTATCAATTATGTAGTTTCTAGGACATTTTATTTGATGTCCCAATACAGAAATTTTGAACAAACTCATCTAGACTTAAATATACAGACAAATCACGATTAAGATAATATAGATGACAATAATAATAATATAACACCCCAGCTAAATATAATTTCGATCAATAAAAGTCTAAATAACTATTTTTAGATTATCATTAAGACGAATAGAAATCGAAATGTTGGTGGTAATTGACAACAACAAAAAAGAACAACGCTAAATATGATAAGCCTACTCATTTACAACATATGATTGATCCAACTTATCCGTTTTGGTTCAAACATAAAGGAAAATCAGTCATTTATTTTATCTTATATATATATATATATATATATATTACTACTGATTAAACTTATATGTAATACATATTTTTTATTTCATCGCTCAATGAATTGATCCCAAAAAAAGTTAATTCATGAAAGTTAAAATCAGTAACGGGGATGAGGATATATATCTGATTTTTAGAGCTGGAAATCGTGGTAAACTTAGCTGAGCAATATAAGTGTTATTGTGCTTGACCATCTTAGACGACACAAATGACTGAGTGAATAACAGATGAGACAGTCTGGATGGTACGGAAGGGTTATAAGAACTAACAGATTTTATCAAGATTTTCTAAATTAATACGTAAAAACAAATAAGAAAATTATTTGACTAATATAAATAAGTACCAGTTTAGGGGTTGCGGAGATTGTTAAGTTTTTTTTATTGAGATCATGAACCGATTGGTGTTAGACCACCATTGAAAACCTGAAAGCAATGGACGACCGTTTCGTCCCTTTAAGAAGCCGTGACCAGTGGAGCTAATCCGTGTCGGTAGAAACAGGTGTCTACCTCAGTACAATGGAAGATGGTCGCGCAACTTCGTGGACTGGTTGAGGTTAGACATTAACACCATTGGACCCCGGCTCAGTGGTCCAGTAGGTTAAACGTTCGCGCGCGAGACTGAAGGCCCAGGGTTCGAATCCCGCGAGCGGGATCGTGGACACGCACTGCTGGGGACGAAACGGTCGTCCAGCGCTTCCAGGTTTTCAATGGTAGTCTAACACCAATCAGTTTATGATCTCAATCAAAAAATAATATAAACTTGAATAAACTTTGAATGTTAGTTATTCCAAAAATTGAGAAAACTTGTAACTTACACAGTAGATCTGAATGAGAACACTGGTCCACAGAATTAAACATTAACGGTAGGATAGTTTTTCTTTTATTCGAATAAATACAAGATATATCAAGGTAATAGGATATTTGTAGGTAACTATTGTTATATGTGTTTTGTAGACATTGTTGAATATTATTGAGACGACAAGCTGACAAATACTAGGAATCAGGGGGGAGTGGACAGCTATTTTATTTTAGTATCGAACTCTTCAGCAGTGCACATCCACGACTCCATAGGGAATGGAACTTGAAAGCTTGGAATTTCTTGAAGAGAACTTAACCTCTAGACCACTGAGTCAGTATTCAGAGGTCCAAATGTGAAACATCGATTAACTCGCGATATTGCTCAACTATCGTCTACTATCCTTAGTTGGTAACTGCCTCATACCCAGCATAACTAGACCCCGTCCATTATGGCTACTCCCTAGAGCTACAGTGATTTCTTCTCAAATAACATTTACAGATAAATTAGATTCTTTAATCCAAACAGTTTTCGAGTGAATGAAATCGTATATTAGTCAAAAAACTGAATTGCCTAATTACCACAAAACTTTCATAAACATATTATTTTTAATCTTATAAATATTACAGTAGATTTTTGTGCATTGGGGAACAAGAAAAATGACAAGGTTTGTGAACTGCAAGCATTAACATGAATTATTGAAATATCTTTTCATGGTGCATAATTTAACAAAACTTACCTCATTAATATTTTTATAAGTTCGAATAAGATTCACTGACATTTTCATGACAGGTCGTTGTTCTAAATCTCGTGGACAGGGGTATTGATTACTAACATTTACTATCGGTTCACAATGAGCAACTATAGTACCACGAGTATTACTGCCTAATCCAGCATCTTTGACATGGTTACATAATGTTGAATTACAAGTAATTTCATCCGCAGTGGAAACAGGAAATGGAAAAATAGGATAACAGTAAGTATTTAATCCGCTCTGCGAAGTACTACTTTGAAGTAAACAACTAGATACTACAGTTGTAAGATTTTTTGATAATGATGGACTACCTGGTTGTCCGCCTATGTCCATTGCGGTTGGTTGAATATCAGAATGGCATGAAAATATAAATGATTCTGAACCAAGTGAATGCGATAATTCCATAGGTTGATGAATATCTCTGTTAGTATGTTGTTGTATTTTAGTGACTGTTGGATCTAAATTGGCATAAGCTGACTGAGCCACTATTATCTGAGAAGTAGGTTGGGAAACATTTGTACTGGAAGTTACGTTAGTACTAATTATTGATACAGCTTTTTGAATTTTATTTTCATATGGTGTTGATTTCACACTAGTTAGACACAAACTAGCTTTCTTTTGTCCGACGTCAATTGGCTTAGTAATTTCATCATTTGTATTCGTGGTTGAATGCTGTTCCAACTGGCATAATTGGTCTGCTGTTACCAGTTGACCATAAATAGCACCACACGCACTCAGTACCGGTGATGAAGATAATGGTGGCTGATTTGCTTGACATCTGATAGTGGAAATTTGTGGAATGACAGTATCAGGCCAGTTAGATACTATCAGACTATTCTTGCCAATATTATGAGTGCTTGCATTGTTTAAGGATAGATCACTACTAACACGGGTGCTTGACTTCCCTAGTCTTTCGCCACTTACGGCCATGTGAATAAATTTCGACCGATTAACTGTAGAACAAGTGAGGAATGAAAAATAAAACACTCAGGGTGGATTTTGTGAGTTAAATACAGGTAAAAGAATGTGAATTATACATAAATAAACTGTAACTCGTCACTGAACTTAGATGCGACCACAGCTGCTACCTATACATAATGCTTGGGCTTGTCTGTCATGATCGTATAAACAACAAAAATTGATTAAAATACCAGTTGCTTCAGATTCCTTCGCAAGGTAGTAGAAATAGTAGTGGTATCAGTGATAGTGAAAAAATATTAAGTATAGAGAGCATGGTTCAAGCGGAGTGAATTCGTGGAATAAAGTATTTCTGGAACTCATGTTTCAGGGGAAGAAAAAGAGTGAAAGAATTTGCGCTCCTACGACTGATTCTGAGCCATTTCATCTAAAAGCTCCAACCACTTGAACCCCAATTATGCAGTCTACACTTACTAGCACGGCCTAAACCAGCCGTTAATGACTTCATGAACTGGTCTCGTGTTTTGGTTTAGCAGCTCTTAGACTGCTTCGAGCCTACACTTGTCAGTATAACATCGTGTGTCATGGTAGGTGGTGGTTGGTATGTGTATTACATGTACCGACTGCTACATCAGTTGATGGAAATCCAAAATCTCGTCAACCAGTTTGACATAAGTACCTACTACCATGCATCTGACCCCAACTGTCCACATTCGGTAGTTTTGAAAGCAATCCATCGAAGGTTTCAACGATCAAGTACCAATAACTTACGAATATCCTCTATTTCTAAAGGCTAACACAATCATTTAGTGACGCACAACGAATCAGTGTGCAGAATGCCAGTCTCTTCATTGGTAGACCGACATCTCAAAACAAGTGACGAAAATTAGGGGGAAAAACCAAGATAATAAGTCAATACTACCGAGATAGGCAGGTTTAGTGTAATTACGAATCTCTTTTTAACATACAGAAGGAAGTTGAAATTTTGTATGGCTAAGATTTCGACAAACCCAAGTAGTCTCCATAGACAGCTTTTATATACAATTAAAAATGCTAAGATCAATCTTATGATCTGTTTCAATCACGTGTTTAACAAAAGATGGAAATAAGTAGATGTCGTTTGCGCATATTAGGTCATTTACTCGAACACTACCAGTCGAGTCAGAGCTGTCATCTGACTTTGCAACCTCAATTGATGTTCGACAAGGCTGTTCACTATCTCCATTATAGAAAAACTGCTGGAGATGATGTTCTTGTCTAGATTTTCGGGCATTCATCGCCTACCAGGAGATCCACTTATCGACTTAGAATATGCAGATGACATAGTCCTGTTTGGTGAGAACGCCGATAAAATGCAGTCTCTTGGTAGAACTGGGAAACAATACCGGGATGTTTAGATGCGCTGACAGCTTCACTTACCTTGGAAGTCTGATCAGCCCTAATGGGTTGGTGTCTGACGAAATCTCTACATCAATTCAGTAAAGCTCGTTTGGCGTTTGTCAACTTACGTGACATATGGCGAAGGCGAGATATCCGTATTTCAATTAAGGGATGAGTATACTGCGTGGCAGTTCATTCTGTTCTACTTGACGGCTGGGAAACGTGACCATTAAGGGTAGAGGATACTCGTAAGTTACTAGCATTTGATTACAAATATCTTAGAAATATTGCTCGCATGTGTTAGAATCACCAGGTAAGTAATAGTGAGGTCAGACTCAGGGTATTAGGGAATGAGGATGGTAAGTCATTTGATTAGGTCGTAAATCTTCATCGATTGAGATGGTTGGGTCACGTGTTACATACGCCTGAACACCGATTACCACGACGCTCAATGCTGACTAGTGTTGTGGATGGTTGGAATAAGGTTAGGGGCGGCCAAACCAGCATACAGCCACTGACAGGGAGGTCCTACTAGCAGCCTTCTCTCAATGGGGGTGTTATTCACGAAATTGAGAGGACGAAAAGAGAATGTCCGGCGCTTTGACTGGGTTGTCGGATACGAAGGACCTATCTAAGGGAGATGGAAACCTTGACACCAAGCCATTGGTGCAAGTGGGCTCTAGGAATCTGGGGGGACAGATGACACACGAACCTATCGTTGGTCACCGACTACCATGGGACTGCATCTCCCAACGTTGCCTCGCCGTCTTGTGGGCTAGACCTTTAGGTCAAAGGTTCGCGGAATGGTCCCCTAAAAAACCGCCAGGTTCAGTTTGGTAAACCGGGCGGTATCCGAGCTGTCACATAAATCGAATGACGAAGTGTAGTGCATATACAACTGGTGCCTCCTTGTACCAATGTTTATGTATTTTTATTTTATTTTAACACATTGGTACAAGGAGGTACCAAATACATATGCGCCACACAAATCTCATTCGATATGTGTGTGGGGGCTGTGATACTGCCCGGGTGCCCAAACCGAAGCAGGTGGTTTTATTAGGGGGCCACTCCCCGAGCCTTCGACCTGAAGGTCTGATCCACAAGGCAGTGGAGCATCGTAAGGAGATGCAGTCCCATGGAAGCCGGTGACTAACGATTGGTTCATACGCCAATTGTTCCTGCACGATACTGGAGCCCATGTGCACCATTGATTTGGTTTGGAATCCGGTTAAAGTGCCGGACATTCGATTTTCATCCTCTCATTTTCGTAAACAACACCTCCGCCACGAGAAGGCAGTGAGTAGGACTTCCCTGGCAGAGGCTATATATGCGTGGTCATGTGAGTGTTTCGAGAGGGAGAGCGGACTCTCCCCACTCTCGGCCGTACCAGCGCATTTGTATTAATCTTAAGGGTTGAAAGGTTAGACAATGTTTCTCATTATACTTAAAGTTCCTACTTTCTAAGAATAACAGTTATCTTGGGATAATTGTTCACTGTCTTGAGTCGCCAAGAGACACAATTAAGTTTCTACCAGCTTGAGTTAGCCTACGTACTTGAGTGTTGGAATTACCTGCTACAATTACTACGTTTGAGCACTTGGTATTTTGAAGATTAGAAAGCTTTTTGTAAAACGTGTCATTTTTATCATCTGAACTGTAGTCAGTGAGAGCGTAGGCAAAAACGATAGAGACAACGGAGTGTTTGTGTCCTTCAGTACCATTTAACCGGTGCATAAGCGATTGAATACTGTAATTCAGTATAGGAAAGCCTGTTTTGGTTTGGAACTTCACACTATATCTATGAGGGCACGAGGAATCGCAGTCAAATCTCGATATACAAAAAGGCGAATCCTGTTGGTTTGTTGTACTAGCTAGGTCACATTAATCGAACGAACACATTAGGATCATGTATTTATGCTTTGGAGAAAGTAAACATAGATGAAACCAGGTTCTAAGGTCTTAGCTAGTGACTTTTTTCTGATTTGACAAAGTATTGGAGGCTCCAACAAGTAGTTTGAAGGGGGATTCAGGAAAACTAGGACTGTTGGCATTAGTACAACGTGTAGGAAGACGAAAAACGAGGAATTATAGAAATAGAAATGTTGGGAAAAGAAAAGCAGATTTAACTGTAAACAAGGTGATTTCCAGAGTTATTAAAGTTATGAGGGTGGTTGTCACTTCCCGGTCGGCCATCTCGTTAAAGGACACAGTTTGAGGTATCCGAAATGGAAACGGAGTTAGAAATGGTTTTGACAACCTGATAGTGTGATCACAAGGTGCAAGGAACAAACGTTTGTAGCCCGTTATAGACGGTCTTTTTGTGAGTCTTTGATATGTTAGCTCCACAGTATTAAAGACTAACAGCCGGCACCGGAATCTATAGAGCAATACGAAGTGAAGGGTCAACCTTTCCTAACCACCTCCACTCATTGGGTAGCATTTATTTATTTAAACACGAAAATTGGTACAAGGAGGCACCAAATATATATGCGCCACATAAATCGTAGATTTGTATGAGGGCTCGGGTACTGCCCGGGTGCCCAGACCAAACCAAGTGGTTTTCATAAGGAGCTATACCTGGAACATTGTTGTGGATGCTGGTTATTCATCAGAAACATTATTGCAGCCACACTCTCGTATATTTGGTGTACGGCTCTATATTTTCCCATCTAAATACATGACCAATAGACATTATCACGACCACGAATTACACTGTTATGACATTGTTTGATACCGTTTACCTGCTGATTGGCGAGATATGGATTTTCTTGGGTAACACTCATAGTAGTAGCAACCCGCTTATCATACAATCAACCCTGTAGATTGTAGCATCAACAGCTCTTCGATATTCCCCGGTTCGTCAACATGACTGGTGCTGTTAAAGTTTTTGGGAAAAGCCCTTTATGATAGATTACTATCACAATCAAACACAGTCATCTGACACAAGATCAACCAGTTTTGGTACTGTCCTCTTTAACCTGGTAAACAATGCGAGGAAGCATTAGTAGTAGTTCTAGATAAGTCTGCTCATTGAAAACCTTAACAAAACACCTAGTTTTATGTGTGGAGCTTGTGTAAAAACTAGATCTGAGTCTACTGACAGTAAAATGATGATGAGACTTTTTATGGTCGGACAGGTAGTAGAAATGGACAGAACACCTAAATATAGATTTAAAGAATGTTGCATCACAAATTAACGAATAAAGGTCCTCACTCTTCCTACTTCTTAGGAAGTGTCAACTATAAACAATCAGGATTCGTATTTCAGAACGGTGGTGTTCAGTAGAAATAACGGGCTTTAACTGCAGGATACTTTGAATGACCTGACTAGGTATTTTAAAAAATAATCCCAAGAGTTCACTAATAGATACAGGTCACAGCCATTCACAACAGTAATTTATTGACTGAACAGCGTCGCCAGTTTAGAAACCAAAGCCTGGGGATAATTTCAAGCAATAACTCCGAAACTACGGTATATTCCGACGTAGTATTTATCAAGTTTTGTTTTCTAGTCGTGCTGTAAGGATATAATTGTGATTTCATGTCTCACCTACGTGGGGTCATGCTTAAAATGCTCAGTGAGTCACTTATAAATAACCTAGAACCTGGTATACATGTAACTCGACATACATTGCCACACAACAGCATAGGAAGATATTAGGGTGACAAAAGTAGTAACAGTGTCAGTAGTAGTGGAGAAAAATAATTATGAATGACACGGTCGAAGAAATGTTTGTGGGATGAAAATTTTCTAAGATAACCAAGAAGCTTAGAATTTAAGGGGAGATAAAGACATACATCTGCTCTGTTGCGACCAACTCAGCTTCATGCCACTCAGTCTTCAATCATTTGTTAGAATCGCGAGGACTTCAATCAACTAGCCTATTCTGACATTTGGGTATCCAAAGATGTAAAGTCAGTCAATGGAATTTTTAACATCTTATACGAATCGATCGAGTCCCTGGGAATTTTCACTTTAATGAGGTTGATTTTTATGATGGAGTATGTTTAATAACTACTTAAGTCCCAATATCTTATTTCTCTGGACTGCCATAACAGTTTAGAGTCTTTAGCCGTCTACTCTGGTCGATATTCCGCGTTTATCATGGTAACCAACACTTACAACTTACCAATGGTATCAGCAACTAGAATGAAAGCCTATAACGTATGATTGATCCTTTACGAGGGAATCGGCAACAAGGTAGAGCTGAAAACGATCGTTATTGCTGCATAAGGCTGAACCGAACGTTTTGGACTGATAACTACTACTATATGACTAATTAAGCTGAAAGGGATGGATCACTTTTGATTCATGATTTATAAGTTAAGGGGTGTGTAGTTTGACAGGTGCAGCAGAATAGCTTTCAATATTTATAAATCCGGCGTCTTTTATACGGACACAAACAGTGAAAACAGTAAGAACGTATTGTTGGTATTTCATAGTTACTATCTGCATATGTCACATACTACCTTCTATTTGCACATGAAGCTATCAGCTGTTTCCAGTCCCCTCAAAAAGCACACTTATAGCAATAGACGAAATACGAAAATAAACATCAAAATTCATTATGACTTACTTTCAGTACATTTAAAGGTTCAGGGAAATCGCAGATTATAATCAAAGTAAAATAAAATTAGCTCTGCCATTACGCAATTTCAATACCTTGGCCGGCTTTTCTCATTTACTACATTAAAACACAATTTGGTCAATAAACATTCAAACTCATTGATTAGCCATAAAATCTATTATTAGGTATGTACTTGCTTCCCAAAAGTGTTAACTGATCTTTGTTTATCTTTTCCACCTTCAGTGCTGTGAATATTAACAAAAGGCAATGATACTATTTCTTCAAGCAAATAATTCCCGTATATCTTGTTCCCAAGCTGGATACGAATCTTTAGTAGAAACAAGTTGATCTTACTATATATAATTTTCTGAGTATATCCCCTATATGACCAGTCCTAATTAGGAGGAACAACCGCGCTTTTCGAACGGGAAATTTAGTCCTAACGTGATTTGCATTTATCAAACTTTTGCTGTGTTCCTCCGTAACGAAAGTACCATTTCTGATCAAAAGAATCTATCCTGAGCTATACGTTCGGTAGATTACTTTTTTTTAGTTTCACCCCATTTCATAGTTAGCTGTGGTTTTCCCTCAGCTTACTATTCGGTTGTTTTCCAGTTTTTCACGTAAAGAATAGTTCAGTTTATCTCATCCATTTTATCCATTTTTGTCCGTTTTCAGTGTGCTTTTTCGTGTATTTTTAACGGCCTTAGGCTTTTGCTAGCATCTACAACACAGTTTACGTCAATACAGTCATGAAAAATTTATGCAAACGACCTGGATGCCGTTTTGCTGTTACATCTGGAATGCAATGCGACAACTGCAATGGTTAGTTCCACGACGTGTGCACAGATCTCACAGCAACTGTTTACAACAGACTCGCCAAGTCGGATCATAAGTGGAAATGTGTTACGTGCAGCACGGATGCTGCAGTCTTGCTGAGTAATATCATTGTCCTACTGACAGGTCTGCAGAGCAAGTTGTCGGCAAATATGGGAAAAGACAGTCAAAAAATAGGTAGAAAAACAAGAGAGCGCATTGAAAACGAGAACAGGGGTGTCGACAGGTCTACCAACGACGGAGCATGCAACAGCAATAATGATGACACTCTGAAACCCAGCACCATGATTACGACGACGGTACTCGACTCCATCGGCAAACTCGGGTCTCACAGCACAAGGTCCTTGAACGCGACAGTGGTTCCCAAAAACTCTGTAGGTGATTGGACCTATGTCAAAAGAGCTAAAAGGGGCCAGGCGTCACAGTCTAAGTTGAACAACCCAATTGTTGAACGGAAGTCAACTGGTGATCTGCTCGCACAGTCTACCCCCAAGATTGTCCGTCCGGTCATCAAAGAGCCAAGGATACATAAACGTGCTTCGACCCCCAAACAACAAGATGCTAAACCTGAACGCATCAGAAAACCTGGGACGACAATAACAGTTCGTGATGACTCTCTCATAGTCATGAACTTCAAAGACAACTCTGACCTTCCTCTCAGTTTGCAGGACAAAAATGATAGGATGTTCTGGGGAGAATTGAACAAGAAAATTGGACTTCCAAGAATAGAGCCTTTGACAGTCACACGGCTCACTCGGGGAAAGGAATCTAAGCATTAAAATCACCCGAGGCTACTTCTTGTAACACTACCGACGTAGAGGATGTCTTACTAGCGAGTCATTTACTGAAATCAGATGGGAATGTTCGTGACCTGGGTTTAAGATGTAGTAACAGTCTTGACTTTTCTGAGCACATTATATCTCAAGTATCCAAAGCTAGAAAGCTCATCGGATTGATAATGATCAACGTTAATAATATCGAATCAAGATTGTTATTATACAGAAAATGTATCTTACCCATTCTTGAATATGGTATTTTAGTTTACAGTAATTGCAGACATAATGACCTTATTAAAACTGAAGGTGTTCAAAGAAAGTTCATCAAAGCTGTTCTGGGGTATTCTGATAACAAAGACTATCACCAAAGATGTCAACAACTCAACTTAGAACCTCTTTGGATCAGACGTATCAAATTAAATCTTGTCTTTATCTATCGGCTTATTAACGGTATTTCCTACTCTTCGGTATCCACCCCTTCATACTTTATGATATCATCCCACAATCTACGCAATAAGCAGAATATTCTAGCGATTCCAAGAACCCACACAAACTTACGTCAGAATTTTTTCCCTATTCGCTACTCAACCATGTGGAACAGACTGCCAGTGAACCTCCGTTGCAGTGAAACTACAACCCGGTCCAAAAGTCTCCTTGATGATTTTCTTTCCGAAAGTGGATTATGTCACCTATCGAATATCAATGTATTCAATAATGATTTATACAAACAAGGTCCGTCATCCATTTAATTGCCTGAAAAGCGAGATAAAAGCTTTAAATCTTCTCACGTATATTTTATTTTATTTCTATTTATCTTAATATATGAAGTCAGCTTATTTTCGTGTTTATCATTATTACCGTTATTATTATCATTATTAGTTCCCCGACACATTAGATATTCTTTTTATCTCTTCTTATCCTTCTAAACATATTTAACTCCAGATTGTCTTTTGAAATCGATTTTGACTTTCATAGCATCATTCTTAATTAGTATTGCACAAATATTTATGCTAATATCCTGTTTCACTCTGTATACTATTACATAAATCTAAATGTATTCATCCGAGTGCTTTAAAGGATTTTTATTTTATTTTTTCAATTGCTGGTTTCCTTCTGAGGTTGATATTCATTACACAATTATTATTCTTATCATGGATGAACCTTTTCACTAGGTATCCACTTCTCTTGTCTCTCTTTTTCCCTTCTATATAGATATTATTCTTAAGATTACGAAGTTTGTAATTAAAACAATAACTTGTGTTACACTTAAATTAAATTCTCAGACCCGTTTTATCTTCACTATGCATATATGACTACTCATACATATTGATATTTTATTATCCTTTCCACTCAATTGAGACTTTCATCGCATCACTCTAAACTATAACTGCACAGACATTTATTCTAGCGTCATATTTTACTGCAATTATAAGTTGTTTTTTTTTAATTATTTTTGTTACTAATTTAACGATACACACATAGTCGTTTATTCTTGCTGTGTTCATAAACACGCCTACTAGACTGTTTGCGTATTTCACGTCTCCTTTATTTCTATTCCCTTATTTTCTCCATTTCCTTCTTTGAACTCAATTCAATATTCTTCGCAGTTACACAGACCCGACTGATTATTATTAATATTCTACTATTATTACTCTAAATTTTTTTAATATGGCAAGTATAATGCTGACATTATTAAAAATTGTGTATTATTGTAGTTTTTAAAGAAACGCGAAATGGTTTCTTCACAACACTTATGTACTTATAAGATGTTTGTGAATAATAATAATAATACTGCCTGACATACCGTATTCTGAGCGCAATCTTATCCGGAACATCCCCAAAGAAACTCGCGATCAGTTTTTCCGCGGGAGGAATATAATCGTGCAAGGTATACAGGAAAATACGGACGCTACTTAATCAAAGACTGACATCAGGGAATGGAAATTCATCAAACAGTCCTTGAGGCTCAAAAACATACTGACTCAGCATGTGACGAAACTAGCCAAGAAGGATGGTGATACTAGACCCCGTCTAATGAAGATAACCTTCTCATCTTCACATATGGTGGCCGCAACTCTGTAAGCATTTCGTGCCAACAGACGTCGACTGCCACCTGGAATCCATATGCACCCTGATAGGCCATACGAAGCTAGGACCAAACACAAAGGTAAGTTAAAGCTGACCATTCCACTTGTAAACTGTCTAGACGATAAAAAATCGTGTAAATGACATGGCCTACCACCTCGGCAAACCTCATTTAGGTGGGCTACCTGTCCATTCACGTAAGGCTCATACAGACAAACAGGAAGAAGCTCACGCGTTCCAAATTGAAAGCATAAACTGCTTATATATGAACGCCGCGAGTCTACTAAACAACTTGAATGAACTACGTGAACTTAGCAATGCTAATAAGGCCCATCTGATAGGAATATCTGAAACCTGGATATCTTCTCAGTTCTCGGACCAAGAGTTAGCATTACCTGGGATGACTTTGTTCCGCAACGACAGAAAAACAGGAATTGGGGGCGGAGTAGCCATATACAAAAGCTCTTGCTTGGAGGTGCACCAAGTTCACAACCTCGAGTTTAACAATCTTGAGGAACCCATATGGTGCTCTGTAGGATTGTCTAGTACTTCGAGGTGTTTAGTCGGAGTCATTTACAGGAAGCCAACTGCCGACATCGAGTACGATAGTCGTATGCTGGAAGGACTATCCCGCTCTACCCGTCTCGGTTTCATACACATCCTGATTCTAGGGGACTTTAATCTCCCTAGAGTCAACTTCGCGGAACACACGTACACTGGAGGCGACAACTAAATTGAAGCTCGGTTCTTCAACCTCGTCGATGACTTGGGATTGTACGAAAATGTGAGGTCGGCAACTCGTTGGAGAAACAGTCAGACGCCATCGCGCTTAAACTGTATTCACAAACGAAGAATTTCTAGTTGACAACCTCTCAATCTTGTCTCCCCTGGGAAAAAGCGATCATGACGTCATAGCCTTTAGTTTTGTCAGCAAAATTTATATAAGGTACCCCACCAATAACTTGCGTTGGAATTTTAAACGGTTGAATGGGTCAGCTCTACAAGACTATCTACAACAGGTCGTTTGGGATGCTCACCCCCAACTCGATATGGACGGTCATTGAGACTTCTTACTGCACACGCTCTTACGTGCTACAAACCATTCAGTTCCTCAAACAGTTCCCAAAAGCTGCGAGTCACCTACAATAATAAAGAACCGCACTATTCGCCTGCTAAGCCGCAAAAGGCATTGTTGAGCGGAATACAAACGAACTGATAACGACGGAGCGTACAGGCAATATAAACATATAAGGAACATATGCACGAAGGCTATAAGAGAAGATAGGCTTCAGTATCAGACAAAGCTTATGGACAAATTCGCCTCTAATCCTAAAAGCTTATTCTGTTGTGCAGCCTCTCTTCGTCAAGTTGAAAACTAGAGTTTCTCAACTGGTAAGTCTTAACGACCCGAC